TCCACAGTTGGAGTATCTGGTGCCCAGTCCGAAAAGTTATGGTAGATTTGTAGAAAATAAATAAAAAAAAATTTATTAAATAAGCAAAAAAAGTGTGGGTTCGTACTGGATTGTTTGACCGATACATAGCAAATGATTCGTCGAAATTTTTTAATATTGTTTTTGATAAAAAAATAAATTGGTAGGAGAGTTTATAAAAAAAAGGTTAATTCTGATTTACAATAAGACGAGGTCGAAAACGGGGAATCATACGAGTATATTCGATGGCTTTGGGAAATTTCTACTCCAAGATGGACAGTTGAAGCTCTTTACCTTAAGAACTTTATCCAAGATGGTACTAGGATTTATACTCATAATCCTGATTAGATTTTTTGGTGAGAAATATTGACCTAACAAGATCCTCCTTTTTACCTATTTTTAGGTGGTATGAAATTCATATCACACCATTAAGTTTTTCGGATTATCCAATCTGTTTGAGAAATATCGCAATAAATTCCATGAAATTAACTAATCGTGATAAGCAGAAATAAAAAATAGATACATTTAATTATTTGAAAATAAAAAAAGAATATCCGAAAATTCTTTTTCGTTTCGTTAAATGTCACAAAGATCAAGATCTGATTACAATTGAACGTGAGCAATAACCTTAGAAACCAATTAACTCAATTAACTCATCTCTTGACAATTCTCGAGAATTGAATTGGACGATGATGATGCATTTTTTTTTTTGTTTTTTTGAGAATTTGATGCGGTCCATGCGTATGTTGACATATTTGATAAACAGTAAATAATTTGCTAAATATTGAAAATTTTCATTTTGACCAATCATTTTACTGTAATTGTAACATTAAAGAAACTTATGATGCACCGAAAGAGGTAACTGTATATTGTGAAAATTTCTTTTTTTAAAAAAAAACAAGAAAAACAAGAAATAATAATAATCAATGAATTCAAATTTTACATTTCCTTTTAAACAAAAAAAAAATAAAATAAAATAAATAAATCAAAAAAAAAATGTAATACCCATTTTTCCTGGTAATCTCGAATCTTAATCTAGGAAATATGCATATTAATCAAACTTTTTTTTGATGACATTCAAATGAAATTCATAAAGGAATCCTTTGGCGGCGGAAAAACCAGAAACGTTAATCAAGGTTTCAAAATTAAATAAAATAAAAAAATATAAGTTATTTGCTTTAACATAATATGAACGAAATCCTTTTTTAAAAAAATAAATATAAAATAAAATAAAACACAAAAAAAGAAAAAAAATAAGGCACAAGTAAAAAAAAAAAAATGACTTCCGAAATAAAAATGAGTCGAGATCAGCCAACGTAACCTTATTCCAAACGATTTATAGTAGTAGGGTTATGCGCAGTGGTTTTTGCAATTTGCTATGCAGATATTATAAAATGAACTTTTTTCTTGATCATGGAACGAACATACATTATTATTTTTAAATTTAATTTTTATGGTTGGTAGATCGATTGCGATAGTCTTTATGACAATGGATTGTGGATGTTCTTCAACGACACAAGGATTAGTGTTATCAGCATTTTTCGTAGGATACTTAACAACCCAAATATTAGGAGGAGCGCTAGCCGATAAATTTGGAGGAAAGCCGGTTCTAGCAATAGGTCAATATCATAAAAAATATTAGTTACTCACGACGTCCATCCCCTGCTGTTTCACTAATCCCGGCACAAGAAAGATCAAGAGCCAACGCCGTTGTAACAGGATCAAGTGTTATTGGAGCCGTCGTTGGACTGCCACATGGACGGCTGGGCAGCGGAGTTTATGGATGGGAGTGCATCTTTACTTGTTTGGAACGATCGGTGTGTTCTTGAGCTTATTATGGCAAATTTATAGATCAAGTTACCGGATCTATATGAAGGGATCAGTCAAGAAGAAGTAAAGTTAATCGGCAAGTTTGAGGACGAAGAAATAATGTAGCGAATTCCGAAGATGGTGTATCACAACAGGAAGGCGTTAGGGATCTACACAGTAACGCAGGGATGAATCAACTCCTTTATTTGGCTAATATACCATGGATGTCGATACTTTCAAAGAAAGAAGTCTGGACATTATTGATAACGTATTTTTGTAATTCGTGGGGATATTTCATCATGTTAACATGGTTGCCAACGTATTATATAGATCACTTTGGCATTGACATCAAGAAATTGGGATATTTTGCTGTCATTTGCAGGCACGATTGGTGATCATATGATTCATAAAGTTAAATTTCGAGTCATAACCATTAGGAGGATCGCTCAATCAATTGGAAGTTTTGGAGTCGGTAATTTCCTTTTATATCTTTAAATGAGTTAAAATGGATTTCCTTTTTAACCCACGATCAAAAATATTCTTAGGCTGCGTATTGCGCGTCATCTCCATTTTGAGGGGATAAACTTACGATCGGCATGGGACTAAACGCGTTCACGTTAGGCGGGAGATCCGTAAATCAGGTGATTCTACATTCTAAAAATACTTTTTTCCTTTTTCAGTTTGATATTGCCCCTAAAATATGCATCATCTACGGTCTTGGCAACACTTTAGGTGTGATCCCTGGTATTTTTTGCGTGGCATTAACTGGTTGGATTCTGGACGTAACAGGAAGGAATTGAAATATTATTTAGGATATTTATATTTTAGTTCAGCATTAATCTTCTTGGCTTGGGCAGGTGGCGAGGTCATCATCGATTGATTAATTGAAGATTGTGAGGGTCGTTCCTTAAAGAACTTACATTTAGATAATTCTGGTCGTATTACAAAATATTTAGAATCATAGCAATGCAAAAGAAAAATAATTTTTTTTTATTTTTATAAATTTTGATTGTACGCACGTAAATAAAATCTTTCCAAAAAAATCTTATTCATATGTATTGCAAAATTTGCAAAATGGCACGTACTAAGATGATTTTACACTCGAAAATGGTTTAGATGTTGATTTCTAATTGTTTTCCTTTATGTTTGTTGCTGAACGAAGAATGATGATCTATCTATCCATTAGAAACGAAAACTTTATAAATATAAGAACTTTCCACCGTTAACCTTCTAACAAAAAAAATAAAATAAAATAAAACAACTTTAATAAGAACTTTCTACCGCTAAAAAAAATTACAAAATGAATACCGTCATCAAAGTCAATTCATTTATTTCAATTCTTTTATTGTTCTCCTTATTCACATTGTTCAATGAAGTAACAGCTATAGCTATTGAAACAAGTAACCATTTCTTTTCTTTCATTTTTAAATTGATCTTTCTTAATCATTTTATTTTTTTTTTAAAATTGATCTTTTCGATCCAATTTTCTTAATTTATACAGGGAATCTAAATAAAACTAATGATTATTGTGATGGTAAGATTTCTTAGCTGTTTTATTTTTTTTAAAAACAATCTTTTTAATAAAATTTTTTCCATCTTTTCCGTTCACAGGATTTCATTTCAAATCTCCTAAAGCTGGTGATAAATTGCATCTTGGTAACAATTTTACAGTAGTTTGGAAAAAAGGAAACTCGAAGATTGATGAAGTAAATGGCCTTGACTTATATAGTAATAAAACTGGAAAATTTGTTAAAACATTATGGAAAGGTAGTAAAAAATTCGGTGCTGATGGGAAGGCTTCGGTAGACGTAAAAGTCGAAGTCCCTAAGCACACTCAATTACCCGCTGATTTTATGTTTAAAAGTTGGGCCTCAACTCAAAAAGGCCCGTCTTGTTTTAGAGTTAGTGGAAACTTTACTATCATTGATATAATAATATAATTTTTTTCAAAAACCTCATGTAATATCAATTAAAATTATTTAGCTGAGACCAATATTTTTTTTTACTGCGCTTTATTAATTTAATCGTACGACCTAAAATTACGTAACATTAATTCATCTTTTTAATAAATACCGCTGCGAACAAAATCTAATGAGTAATGCATTAATCATTTTTTTCATGTACTGCTTTTTTTTACTATGCTTATTAATTTTTGCCAAAGTATCCATATTATTTGTTGTATTACGTCATTACAAGCCACCCAAAGTTTATGCAAGAGTCTATGTCATGATGTATTCAGAAGGTATATAAAGCTATAAACCTTAGAATTCTCTCAAGCTTTCCAAATTTTTCATTGATTTGATTAAACAAAACTTTCATTATGTTTCGACATTTATTTTCAAATGTTCGTAAATCCTCAACATTTCCTATTCGCAGAACCATAACCTCAACTAGAACCTCAAAGTTTCCTAGTACTCGCAAATCTTCAACACTTCCTGGTAGAACCTCGGCGTTTCCTGATTCAACTCGCAGAACTTATAACGTGTTAAACCAAAAGGTTACTTACACGTTGAAAGAATTCCTAGCAGAATACGAAGGGAGAGCAAATGAAGCTAGCGCAAGAATGGAGAAATCTATTAATGTAAGTATTTCATTTTATTTCCCTTTATAAATCTGAATAAGTTTGCAAATTTAATCTAACAGATTTTGTAATTTATGAAGGATAAAATCGCAAGTTTAAATGTAAGTATTTCATTTTTTATTTCCCTTTATAAATTTGAATAAGTTTGCAAATTTAACCTAACAGATTTTATAATTTATGAAGGATAAAATCGAAAGCCATAGCTCAAGTGTAAATGTAAGTATTCATTTTTATTTCCTTTTATAAATCTGAATAAGTTTGCAAATTTATTCTAACAGATTTTGTAATTTATGAAGGATAAAATCGAAAGCCGTATCTCAAATGCTGAAAATAAGATGTTATATCTTTTTGTTGGGGCCATAATTATTGACTGGACGAAAGTAATAATCGAAAAATTTTATGATAAGGAACAGAAGAATAATGAAAGTCAAGAAAAGAAATAATTTCTTACACGATAAATAACCAATCTGATTATTTCTTTTCTAATCATGGCGGGGTGGTAGTATTCATTTTTTTTCCGTAGTAATACGTTCACAAATCAACTTTGCAATCTGTTTTTTTAAAATTTGCTGGAAAATTAGAACCTTTGAGGAGGATTCATTGCTCAATTTTTTTTTTCTTTCAATTGCTGTACTATTTTTATTTACATTAGAGTGCTGATAACTGCAAAAGCTAAAAATATACATTACAAAGTTTTCGCTCATATCTATTTGATTTTAACATGTGATCATTTAGATCTGTTTAAAATATATAACACGACGAAATCCTATCTGAAAGCGTGATCTGGGATTTATCAATATTATTATATTTTTATAGTATGATGAAATAAGCAAAATATTTGACATGCTTTAACAGTTAAAGGTTGAGAGTACGAAACTAACTAGATGTAGACCCGTTGCTTTGCAACGGTATAAAGTGATTAAAACTTAAGGGAGTGTTAACGTTAAGTTATATATTATTTGTTATGTGTATTATGTGTCGATCATGACCCTATGTACAAAAAGTGTGACATATCTAAGTCACATTAATTGGCTGAATAGTTTTTGATAATGTTGTCTTAAAATTGAGATCGTTTAAAAATTTTTAAATTTCACGATATACATAAAATCTTAACGATTCTCGATATATGTAAAACTACATAACAGAGTTTTGTTTCTCATCACATATCACGGAAGTAAGTTTCTAATTTCAAAATATTTAAGGTGCATGATGAGATAATATACAATTCTTATTTATTAACAAAAGAATGACAAATAAATGTTAGATAATCTATCGAAAATTTTCACTATACACGACGTTTTTTGCTTGGGATTTCTGGTCATTATCTCGAAGTGATTCTTCGATAAGACGACGTACAGCTGACCATGCGAAAACATTTGGTTGTGGTATATAGACACCCACATTGTTCAATGTTTGAATTTGTGATTTGTTAACTGTCATGGAAAATGCAACGAGTATCTGAAATTGGCGTCGCTTGAGAATGAATGGTAAACTGGCGTCTGAAGTAGTCAATAAAATCCGTTGTATGAAAACACGATCACCAACATGTGGACTTGTTATAATTTCAGCATCAATTACTTTGTTGTAAAGGCCACGACAGATTAATCAGGTTCAATTGCAAAGTCCTTCTGAGGGGTTCAAATTTCGCAGGATATGATTGGAACTCTCACTTTTAATTTTAATTCGTCAGGAGGAAATCCAGGAATTTTTAATGATCTTAAAAATTCTGTGGAATATAGTTGAGGCTGGTCCAAGTTGCTATCATCAGTTAAATCCACAGAATCCGCACTGGTGTACGTATGAAATTTGCCTGGAAATTAGTTCATAATTAGGGTTGAAATATGTTCAACATCGTCATTTTTTGGAGTTAAAATGGCCCTTCCAACGATATAATTAACATCACTAGAATTATCGATTAAGTTTGGATAGACAAAGTCTATAAGATCTGATAATTCACCTCCAGAAATTATTATAGGCGAGGGAAGTTCTATCACATTTTCTGTATTTAGAATAGCAGGATATTTGCCATCACCAATCTGTAAAAGAAAATCTGCAAAACTTTTTTGCTTTTGGTCTCATGGGTGTCATTAGTCTCCCGAAGTCTCATATTAATTGACAATTTCATCACCTTCATGTGTCTCCACAAAGAAGAACGACTTAAGCTTGCTGAGACAACTTCGGCGTGTGAAGCACGTGGTATAACAGGAAGCACCTGACGAAAATTACCGAATGATTTATCCACTCGAGTGGTGTCACGAAATGTCAAGTCAAGTGCTTCAAATGTAAATTTATGTATCATTAGAGCCTCATCCCAGATGAAAACTTTGCTAAATTAATTAAACGGGCCTCTTTACTGTTTCGCAAAATGTTACATGTTGAAGATTCATTAAGTTTAAGCGGAATTTTGAATCGGCTGTGCGCAGATCTACCACCCATAATCAAAAGAGCAGCAATACCGGAAGATGCTACAGCTACAGCAATTTCGCCAATTGAACTAATACTCGAAAGCAAAGTATTAAACAAAAACGTTTTTCCGGTACCACCTGGACCATCCACAAAGAAACATCCATCACGGCTTGTATAACAGCTTCATATATATTACGTTGATCATCGTTTAATAAAGGAACATTTTACAGGAGCTCATTTCTAAGCTGTGACATATCATACGATCATTCTTCACAGATTAATTGATTCAAATCCTCATTGCAGTAATCAATATTTAAATCCTTTGATGGAGGAATTGGCATATCCAGAAAATCCTTTAGTGATTTTCTATTAAGTAAAAGATAATCTTCCAATCGATAGAGAGCCTCGTATTTAATCATATCAGGTATATTATCGTTTTAGGATTATATTAGCACATAATTCTGATAACAAATATGTTACATAAGGCTACCTTGTGATTATTCCATAATATTTCAGGATTCACTGGATGACAGAAAAGAAGAATAGAGGCAAAGAGATGTCGCAATTGATTTCCTGATTGTATGCTACTTGCTTCAAGTAAACATGCATTCCGCTCATCATCATCTTGACAGCTGAATGCAAGCTTTTTTGAAATTTCTATACGTATATTCATCAATGGTTTTCAGGTTTTCAAAGCTGGTTGCACCTCTGACATGGATAAGTAAGATGCGAAAGTAATATCTTTTACCTTCTGAAGGCTGCACCATGTAAATCCTACTAATCATTGTTGTTGCAGTTTTACGGGGTCTCCGCATATGGTGTGTCACATCCCAAGTATAATGGTTTAAAAATTCTCTATATGCATATGCTGCTTCATTAACGATATTTTTCTA